ATTTGTAATATTAAGTAGTGGAAGGAACATAACCTCTAAGTTCAACCCGTTTTATAAGAAGTAAATTTTGATATAACACAAGATGATAGCGTAATAGAGTAAGACATAACTAATGATAAACACTTGTACTATTAAGTAGTTAAAGGAACACAACCTCTAAATTCAGCCTGCAATGTTGTTTGTGCTTGAGCAGCGACTTAGGATGGTGGGTGGCGCTCTAGCATACTTGAAAGCTCCGCGTCATTCCTCACACGAAGCGGTCGGGTGTTCTCTCCAACTTTGATCATGATGACTCCATCGCTGGTCCACACGTTTTTCTCAGAGTAGTTTCGAATAGCTTCCTTGAGGAGAGCTAGTCTCTCGCGAGTGAGGTCCTCTCTCACAGTTGTTCGCGTGCCCTTCAGCAGTTTTTTCGCCTGGAACACAGCTTTTTTCGAGGCATAGCTTGTGAATTTTACTATGATGGGCCTTGGTGTGGAGCCCATCGGCTTTCCCACTCGATGTGAGCGGTCGATGTTGTTTAGTTGTATATTAACTTTCAGCTTTTTAGCCAGGTCCAGGACCAGTTGGTCCGTGTTTTCATTTCTCTGCTCAGCTATACCGAATATCCTCACATTGTTCCTTCTGCCATACTGTTCAAGTTCTTCACATTTATAATTAAGCGATTCTATCGCCTTGTCTTTCATTTGTAGTTCACATTTTAATTTCTCCACCTCTCCGCACAGATTGTTCCGACATTTGTCAAAGACAAAAGCCCCCGGGAGGCTCCACCAGCCCAGCCCAGCGGGAGGGGAGAGAGAGAGGCTCTCGCCGTTGTGTCTGTCCGTCAGCCCCGTCCTCCTGCTCCCGCCCGCCTGTCGGCCGGCCCACTCATCTGCATCTGTGCATCGGCCTCGCGCAGCGCCGCTTAGCGGAGCGGACGTGTCCCCCCCCCCCCCCCCCTTGCCGTGCCTCTCCTACTAATTATAACGGAGGATTGAGCGCCCCGCATTCTTGGCCGACTTTATTAAATGAGTAGTCGTACTGGAACTCCTTTTTTTTTTCGGTGGAGAAGGATGCAGGGGGTGGAGGCAAAGGATGGAGAGAGTGAGAAAGAGAGAGGGTTGGAAGGAGGCAAAAAAAAAGAGAGTAAGAGAGACAGCGGGAGAGCGCGGGAAATATGAATATTCTTCCTTTTTTTACCCTCCCCCGCGCGCGCGCGTTTCACTTTGCCAGTCCCGAGGGCAACACAGTCGTCGTCGCGCCATTCTTATTTCATGTCTGCAATATCGCTGGCCGAGTGTAGAAAGCAATTACATCCTTGCACCGGAACGGGGAATTAAATTGTACAAGTCTGAACGATGAATCAAAGTACTTGGCTTTGCTTCGCACAGGCAGGCGGTGGCGGCCGGCGCCGCCCGCCCGGGCGCGTGTTCTAAAGTCGAAAAGCCGGCGGTTTATTCTTCCGCTGTTGCCGTCCGCGTGCCGCTCTCCTCCGTACCTCCTCTTCGTTATTATCTCTCCCTTTGTGTCTTTTATGTTGCGTCTCGATATGAGTCTTTTCATTAAGGCGCGCGCCGTCGTCCGGCCGGGGAGAGCTCTGCGCAAGACTGTGTGTCTCTGTGCGCGCCGCGTCGACTCTTCCCCTTTTGTCTCCATGGGAGGGAATAGTGCGAGGCATTGTTTAGTTTTGGGGAGAAACGTTTTATTTTTTTTCCTCGTCCACCAGTCATTCAACAGCACTTTGTGAAAATTGGCGGGAATGCACCCGCAAAACATTCAACATTATTCACACTTTTTTTATTCTTGCACTGAATTCAATTTCACTCCAGTCAGTAGCCATGTTATGGAAGCTATACAAATAACACCATCACAAATAGAAGGCCCAGTGGCCGATGGAGAGCGCCTGGCGGGTAGGCCGGCCGGGCCCTGCGGCGCGCGCCCGCGTCGTGCGGGCCGGCCTACCCGGCGGGGCCGCAGGGGCGCTCCCGCGGGCGAGGCGATAGGGACCTGCGTCGCCAGCGATATTCCAGCAGAGCACGGCCCTCCTGACTCACGACGACAGGGTGTGGTAGTGTAGTTGGGCCGCTATCGAGGGATACACACACACACGAACGGCAACACGAAATGCGCCGACGGTCATACTCGTTGGGGAAGATGCTGTAACTCGGTGTATTGACTCGTGACCGGCGGCCCCTTGCTGCCTCAGCTCGCTGCTGCAGCTTTATGTCGGGTCGGGTGGCCGGGGCACGGCCGGGGCACGGCACGGGCTAATCGCATGATGGCTTCGGATCCATTGCTGCTGCCGCCGCTGCTGCTGCTGGTGCTCCCGCCGGGGGAGCAGCACGCTTACCCCCCTATCCGCCCCTCCTCCTGGGCCCCCAGGACCCCTCCCCACGGGGCCGCCGGGCCGTGCTGGACTGTGCTGACGAGCCCCCACGTGCCCAGCATAGCGGCGCAGGGCGCAGCCGGCAGCGGCGGGGCCACGGCGCGGCTGTTGCTGAAACACACACAGTCATGCTCTCTCACACACACACACAGTCACACACAGACGGTCATACTCACAATACCTCATATAAACATTGCAAAAATCAAAGGATGTATGGATGCATTTTATACATTCAACAGCAGGTCTCGTCCTCCTCCTGGCCTTCTGCTCGGCCGCCCTGGCTCACGGGCTCGTTAGCACCCCCTTCTCTTGCCCCGCCACGCAGAGCGCCCCGGTCGACTGAAGGCTAAGCGGCCCGGCCGGCCGGGGGCAGCCAGGGCAGCAGCGGTATAACGATGGATCTTGATGCAGGGCAGGGCGGGGCGGGGCGGGTGCGGCGGGCAAGGTCATGCAATCAGGGCCGTATCGCCGCACTGCCGCCCTCTAACTACCGGCCGGCCGGCGAGCGCGCCGCCCAGCGCCGCCCAGCGCCGCCCAGCTGGGGGAGGAATAATAAGGGCTCCGAGTGCGTCGCCGCCGCTGCCGCAGTGCTCGGCGTCCTCGATAGGAGCGGCTACGAGACCCTAGCCCGACCATATCGATGTCCATGGTCCAACAAGAGAAACAGCCCGCCCATCACCGTAGTCTAGGGGTGTTGGCTCAAGTGTATACACTAAAACTACTCCTTGGTCAGGTTCACGAGCTAGGTTCACTGGGTGCACACATCTTTCGCCTTTTACAGTCATGCTGTTGTTATTTTTCCTGTATTTTTTAGGGAATACTGTTTAGACTTTTAAGATTGGCTGGTCGTCGGTGGAAAGGTTATTTGCGTGCTTTTGACACGTTTCTCACCTTGCCTTTCTCTCTCGCTCTGTTGCAGACCCTCCCCGCATCGTGATCCGGCCGCGCGACCAGACGGTGCGCGCGGGCGGCACGGCCGCCTTCTACTGCTCGGCCAGCGGCATCCCGCCGCCGTCGCTCAGCTGGAAGAAGAACGACAAGCGCCTGTCCAACTCGCAGAGCCGCTACGCCGTGGAGGCGGGCGGCGGCGTGCTGCGGATCGAGCCGGTGCGCACGGGCCGCGACGACGCGCGCTACGAGTGCTCGGCCGAGAACGGCGTGGGCGACGCGGTCAGCGCCACCGCCTCGCTCACCGTAATAGAAAGTAAGTACAATAAACCAACCTTTAAAAAACAAAACAAATAAAACCTTACAAACATTTGTTTGTCCTTTCGTTAAAAACATTTATTTCA